TTGGATCGGCTGAGTCAAACTCCTTCTGCACTTCGGGTCGGCCGAACATGCTGAGCATGTTCGGCCGACCCGAAGCCACACAAAGCCACCTGATGTACGGCTGATTTTAGCCGATGTACGGCTGAAATCAGCCGTACAAGCCTGAAGTGAATAGCCGAACAGTGTTCGGCTCACTTCACTTCGGGTCGGTTATTCACTCGTCTGCCGTCGGCAGCTTAGTGAATTGACCCCTTACTTTTCTGTGGTAAAGTGCGCATGGGTATGCTGAGCATGCTCCATACATAACCCACTCAAGCAACAGGTCACACTTCTGGTGACATTCTCACAAGTGACAAAATTTCTTTAAAGTACATTCTGCAGTTGGCATGGCATTTCAGCCATAAGGGCAGGGGCGTGTGAAATGGTCACCCTCCAGCTAACATTGTAGCCATAATAACAGGTCGAGATATTTTAGGGCCCATTCAAACTATATGAAGTGACTGGTGTTTTTCAGCCACTAAACAGTACCAGTCACAGCTAGGGCACATGCAGAAATAAGTAGCACAGCACACGGGGCAACACATGCTGTGGGGGGACCTGAATGGAGTGTACAGTTTGTTAAACAATAGTGAGGAACCTGGGCTTGGTGTGAACCCAGTTCTGTTGAGTTTGTCCAAGCTCACTCAAAACTGTAACTGCCCAAGTAAAATAAGACCCTTATGGTGCCTGCCAAAGCATGTTTGATACACACTGTTAAGAAATGTGTCTATTGAGAAAGTGAGCTGAGTGTGCCTAACTGGTGGCAGAGACCAATTTAATTGGGGAATTCCCCATTAAGCAATCTGTAAATGGTGTGTTACATACCCTTTTATGGCAACAGACAGGGAACAGAAAATGGAAAGTTAATTAAAGGAAATCTGTCATGAGTGAAATACATAGGCTGCTACTGCTCACCTCTTTCTGAAAATGCTGTCATGTTGTCAGGTAGAGCCTCTGTCATCCATACTTAAAGTCCCCCAGAACCATGATGCCAACCAGTAGTTCTAACTTTTTCTTCTGCATAAAGGTTCCTGATCTGTGACGTCTTTTCAGGTTTCCTTTAAGCCTCAATTATAAAGTAGCGTACTTAACAAATAATGTAATATAACATTTGTAGCTTTGCATACTGGATGCAGGTAAACAACCTGCAAAGCACTTCCTGAACCACCAGTCATATGGGAGTCTTTTCAAAGCATTGCACATTTTCAGATGAGCGGGTAATGTGTGCTGCTGTGCTCCATGGAGGAAAGTGCGGCGGCGGTGGCCATGTTTGTTGTATGCTGGCCGCTCTATATTACCAAAAGTATTAGGACACCCCTCCAAATCATTGGGTTCAGATGTTCTGTGAAATTTCCTTGCTACTAAATATTCCACGGTCACCTGTTAGTGGTATTATAACAATGTGGAAGCAACAGGGAACAACAGCAACTCAGCCACAAAGTGGTAGGCCACGTAAAGTGACAGAGCACGGTCAGTCCATGCTGAAGTGCACAGTGCGCAGAAGTCGCCAACTGTCTGCTGAGTCAATAGCTACAGACATCCAAACTTTGTGTGGCCTTCAAATTGGCACAACAACACTGCGTAGGAAGCTTCATGGAATGGGTTTCCATGGCCGAGCAGCTGCATTCAAGCTTTACATCACCAAGTGCAATGCAAAGCGTTGGATGCAGTGGTGTAAAGCACGCCGCCACTGGACTCTAGAGAAGTGGAGACGTTGTTCTCTGGAGTGGCTTATTACGCTTCTCTGTCTGGCGATCCCACTAAAGACATGGATGAGCAAGTTTGGGGTGAAGGAACTTGACTGACCTGCAAAGAGTCTTGACCTCATCCCGATAGAACACCTTTGGGATGAATTGGAGTGGAGACTGCAAGCCAGGCCTTCTCATCCAACATCAGTACCTGACCTCAAACATTCCCATAGACACACTCCTAAACCTTGTGGACAGTCTTCCCAGAAGAGTTGAAGCTGTTATAGTGGCAAAGGGTGGGCCAACTCAATATTGAACCCTATGGACTGAGACTGGGATGCCGTTAAAGTTCATGTGCGTGTAAAGGCAGGCATCCCACTACTTTTGGTAATATAGTGTATATATATACAGTATATATCTATAGTTACAATTTCGATCCAATTTTTGTTTTACAACTAAACATTTAATACCATGCTTTAATATATTATCTTAAAAGAAACCTCTACTTTCATATACTCACTGATACAGTTCCCTTTAAGCAGCTACAAAAAGATATTCCAAATTATTGTATGAGGATTGTTTGATAAAACCATCCATGAAATCTGAGCTTACAGCTAAACTTCTGACAAATAACTAAATACACCGTAAAACACATACCTGGGAGTTGTTTTGCTTACAGAAGAATTTGTAACTCTGTCCAGCATGTCCTGAGATATACATATCTAGCAAGGCTGCTGACTTCAGTTTTTTCTGCTTTAGTTAAGGAATATAGCTTGATTTCCTTTACCTAGCCTTTGACTGGACAATGAAAGAGCAGATGATGAGGTCATCTCTCTTTTTCTTGTTTTCCAGCACATGTGCATGCAACAGATCCTAAAGCCCCTTTCACATGGGCACCTTCAGTTCCGAGCAGCAGGGGATCCGGGCATAGATACCCTGCTGATCAGAGCAGTTTGGAACGTATGTGACATCCATCCAGTATTTTCCTCCCTCTTGTAAAGAAGGAAAAACTAAACTTACCGGAACCATTTTAGGTCTATGGAGAGTCAGATGTGTCCATTTACATCAGATTACCCCTGTTCAATAGCCTGCTATACACTGAGCTTTGGGTCACCGGAGGAGGTTGGTATATGTCCTCCTGTTACCCTAAAGAGAACTATGGGATGAAAAGGTTACCCCATAGTTCTCTTTTAATTCAGCTGCAATAAAAATGCATTCAATAATTTTTTTCATAAATGTATTACATATTGTTATATCTGTCTGGAGCTCAGCTTCAGCTGATGGAAGTACAGTTTGATGAGAATATCCACAAGAGTTACAGATATTGTGTCTCTGCAGCTTTGGGTTAGATGATGGTACAGCCTCCGTCAAGTTGTTTGTCTACATGCTGGCTGAATAATTGGACTTGTTCCCTAGATTAGGTGCCAGGAACAGGAGAGGCACTATACGATGATGTGGGAGGAGAAGCAAATTATAATGTAGAAGGAGGGGGACACCTTCTATGGAGGGTGTGTACTATTTATTGAACGAGTCTCATACTGGTATGTACACACCTTCCGTACACCTCCCTGTAGGTATGTATTAAACATAGTTACTGCAGCTCCATGCAGCATGATATCTTGTAAGGCAATGTGAGATAATATGTTTAAGTTTCTGTTTTGGTAAAGCAAGAGGATTTCTGTAAGAAATGTTAAGAGTACAGAAGCTCTTCTATAGATGACAGCCAGGCAGTCTGCTGTGGTGAACTTGTTACATGACTTTTCCACTGCTGAACAATTACAGGGATAAATAATTCAGTTATTGGGAAAAAGGGAGATCGAGGAATAAACTAGTATTTACACTATGCAAAGGTGTTTGAGATGAGAATTGTTTTATTGTTTTTGCTAAATGACCTTGTACTGCTGCGATCTTCACACAATACTAAAGTATCATACACACACACACACACACACACACACACACACACACACACACACATACACTGAGTGGCCAGATTATTATGACCACCTGACGTTTGTAGGCAAATTAGCTATAATTAGCTATAATTTCGCGCTGAACTTGCTAGAGGGCCAGACCATTATAAATAGGGAAGCAGGTTGTTTACCACAACAGTAGAAGTGATTTTTTTTCTGAAGATATGGGTAAACAACGCGATTTAACAGCCTTTGAACGTGGGATGATTGTTGGCGCTCTGAGCCATTGAGAGAGTACCAGCAAAACAGCAGAATTCGTTAAATGTTCAAGAGCAGCTGTTGTTAAAGTGTTTAACCACTTCAAGACCAGGTGTTTTGACCCCCTTCCTGGCCAGGCCATTTTTCAGTGTTCAGCGCTGCAGTACTTTGACTGAAGTTTATTCCGTCATGCAACGCTGTACTGAAATTAATTTTATACCATTTTTTGGGGACAGATAGAGCTTTATTTTGGTGGTATTTAATCACCACTGGGGTTTTTATTTTTTACTATAATTAGGAAAAATTAAAGAAAATTTTGAAAAAAAAAAGTTTTTTTTACATTATGTTAGGAAACATTTATTATTACCCAGTTTTTTGGTAAAATATAAAAGTCAGGGTCACGTCGGATAAATAGACACCAAACATGTCAACCTTTAAAATTGCGCGCACCCGCGAAATCGCAGAAAACTACCATACCCAAAATTGGCCATAGGCGACACTTTAAAAGCTTTTACCGCTCATCAGTTTAGTGTTATCAGTGATTGATGGCCCTAGACTTATTGCTCTCACTGCGACGTTCGCGGCGATATGTAACATGTGCGGCGTAATGGGCGCAATCGTCGTTTTTGCACGTATGCGCCCCGACGCATGTTTGCATGCATGTATGTATGGGTGGGGACTTAAAATTATTATTTTTTTTAAATTCTTTTTTATGTGTTACTTTACATTATATACAGGTAGTCAGGAAACATACAGCGATAAAAACACAACAGAAGTTCAATCCACTAAATTTTTTATCTTTGTTGCCAGTATCCCCTTGGGAGAGATTATGCTCTTCCCTGGGGTATCTTTTGTGACCACATGTGAGGAACAGGAACCAGGTGTATTTATCCAACTATAAATCTGGCTATAAATTAACTTTTCAAATACGTAGTTTCTTGCTGACAGGAAAAGTTTGACCTTCAAAATTAGACAATCATGTAATCTGGCAATGTGCTCATAGGGACCTTTGTGATCAAATTAGTCTCCAAACAATCACACCTCTTCATTGTAACCCATTTGTTTGCATCCATAGTGGTCACACATTTGGTGATCTGGTTTTAGGTCTGTATTAGATCATCATTGCTGTCCAGCATGTATTAAGCATATCACTCGATGACACTCGTTACCTTTCTCAATAACGGTTTGTTAATTCCTGGTATAGGGTGCGTATTTATACTCAGGTTATTTAGTAATTTATCACTTCCTCTTGTGAGGTTTTGTCAGTATACACTAATCTGGTGACTTCTGAGAATATCTCTGCTTGGGAATTGCATATGATGAGTTGTCACTAATTCAGTGCTCCGTTGACACTTCTTCTTTTTTTCTAATTTGTCTGATATTGCACTCAGTTTCCTGTTTTTCTCTGCTATTATTGTCCTGCTTAGAGTCTGCTGTTCTTTCTATCAGAAACATCAAGCAATGGAAAACCCAGGAGCAGGATCAGTGGAGAACATGCATCTGCCTGCCAATGAAGAGGTGAGAACAGGAGACTACCAACCTAAAGCACAAAAGCATCTTTAAAAATATGTATATATAGATATATATCTATATCTATATATTTGTTTTTTCTGTCTTTCCCCATTCCATCTGCCTTTTTTTACATGATGTCCCTGCATAAGACACCAACAGACAACACACAATTGTCACCTGATCCTGTCAAAATGATTAAGATTGCTAGATGAGTGTGTCTGCGTGCCTAGTACTCTTGGCAAAAACAGGTACCAGTTGGGTTGGGTTATTTAGCCAGTAGCATTTTGTCCTGTCCCTAAGACACAACACCAGGAATGTTGCAGTATACAAAGACTTATTTTATAATGCAGTGAAAAGTATGCTAGGTCACAGCTATTTTTTTTTGCTTTAGGAATATGCAAATAAAAAAAATGTAAAAACTGTTTTAAAGGTTACATGGTAATTAATAATTTAAAATAATGATATTAAATAATTTAGTATGTAGATCTGCTCTTGCTTACTGTGCCATATTTTCTTGATTGTATTTCATCTACTAAGTACTAGGTTTAGTGGCTAGGTGTATGCCAGTGCAGACAAAGCCCATGATGCATAACTGTCAAAATAAAATCAAGAACTAGAGGGCAGTTGGGCAAATCACCCAAAAGTACCTGTGTCTGTGAAGCTCCTGTACACATGTAGGTCAAGTTGGCTGAACATTCTTGTTTAGCCTAGAAAGCTTGAGGGAACGCACCCTGACACTTTTCAGAGCCAGTTTATTAGAGGAAAAATAATAGTGATGGATCTGTTTGTTGTTCTCTTAAGAGTTAAGGATGACAACGTCAGTGGGTACCTTATAGACAGTGGTGGAACTACTGCCGTAGCAGCCCATGCAGCTGCTATGGGGTCCCGGGCAGAGGGGGTCCGGTCAGCTGCAGGAAGGAAAGCTCTTCAGGGGTCACCAAGTACCGGCCCATGAGCTCATTTCAGCCCACGAACCGGTACCATCTGGCCCACAGCTACATGGTCTGCATCTCTGTCAGATGCAGACCGCATAGCTGCTTCTTTCGGCCAGAGCTCTGAACTCTGGCCGAAGAGAAGGATTAGTAAGGTCTCCACCAGACCTTACTAATCAACCACTGGATCACCATTGATCATGCAGGTGATGGTTTTTTTTAGTTTATCTATGGGGGGAGGGGGAAAGGAGGGGGGTGCATTATTCTGTGTGTGTTTTATTTTATCTACGGGGGGAAGGGGAAACAAGGGGTGGTGTATTATTCTTTGTTTGTGTGTGTGTATTAATTTATCTGTGGGGGACGTTGGTGCTGGAGTATTATTCTGTGCGTGTGTGTATATGTACAGTATTTCTCTATGTGTGTGTTTGGGGATGGGTGGGATGTATTTCTCTATGTGTGTGTATGTATGTGTTTATTGGGCCCCATTCACATCTGTAAGTTTAGCTGTGATGAGGGATTCCTGCGTCAGGAACTTGCGTTTTCCTGCAGCAGGAATCCCTAATTTGCCGTTTACAAGTGGCAGCTGTCACCCATTCAAGTTAATGATCAGGTGACAGCCGCTGCATGTAAACACCTGCATACCGCATGTGATGGTAGAAAAAGCATTTTTCTTTTTTTGGGGGGGAGGGAGGGGCATACAACATTTTTCTATGGGGCCCTATGATTTCTAGTTACGCCCCTGCTTATTGACATGAGATTTTTGCTTAGTCTAGGTAACAAGGTAACAATGGGTAGCTTAAAGGACAACTGTACCCCCTCTGCTGAGTGCAGCCCACCTGGTCTGATACTCACCTTCGCGATCAATATTGTTCTGGTTCTTTCCTGGTGGTTGATGTCTCACACTGACATGGTGTTGTCCGACTGGATCCTGGTCAGATAACCGACAGTTGGGAATTCCAGCATTGCAGACAACCAAATTTCTCAGGGCTCCAGAATATTGATCAGGAAACAGGATCCCTATGGCATGCAAGTCCGTGGCACAACAAGCAGTCTAGGACTCCTTCCCAGCCTGTCACGTTCACGTCTGTGAGAATCTTAGAAGGTGATCGGAAGGAAGGATTTCCCCAACTCCAGAACCAGACTCCTGAGCCACCAGGCCAAGAACGTAAAGTTAGGAGTTTAAGTTAATGAAGCATAATTGTCGTTTGAGCTGTGTGTCTGGGATAAGATCCAGATACTTTAAGGGATGAGTCAGCTCCAACACCGACTTCTGAAGGTTCAGGATCCAACCTAACCTTTTCAAGGTTTGTACTGTCCCGGTTGTACAGATATCTCAGAATGGGGATACCCTAGAAGCTTAGCAAAGCTAGAAACAAAGGCCAACACCTTGGTCTGAATGGCAAGGTCACAAACTAGAAGTGCTGGGGACCCACGGCAAGCAAAGGAATCACGGAATGAAGTTTCCTGAATGAAAACCACAATTATCATTAGCATTTTGTTCATTTGAGAATTTTTTTTTTATCCTGCTTGTTTGATTTTTTTGGCATTGCAGTCGAAATCAATTGTGAATTTGGCCCCATTAACAATTAGAAAACAAAACAAACATTCAAAAAATGATTTAAAAAAAAAAGAAATTCTACTGGTGTATGGCCTAAATTCTAGAGTCACAGCATGCATTATCCTGGTAGAACATCAGCATTGTAATAAGAATACATACTATAGTTGTTTTTCATAACGCAATCAACTCTTACTTGAAAAAAACATTTTTATGTAATCAATGCTGTCTTCTGTCTGCCCATCACTTTCCCTGCCGCTTCATGTGATGCAATCTCGATTTCTCAAGACTACATATCCCATCAAGCAATGCTTCCAGCAAGCAATGATAATGTTACATTGTTCAGATGTTGAGTTGTAGTTCAAAAGGCAGGCTCCATAGAGAGTTGGAAAACAAGGAAGCGCATGTTCACAGGGCTGAGTGAAATTGTGTCAGTGCATTAAAAAAATAGAACCTATGGACATCTTCAATAAGTAAGTTTACAAACTTCTAGATAGATATGGATATTAGGAGTGGGATACAACTTATGGACATTCAGTATAGAAATACAAATATATTTTAGTTTGTTTAGCTTTTGCTCATAGATACCCTTTAAAGAAGAACTCCAGTTTCTTTTAAAATTAACCCTTGCAGTGGGGCCACCTCCGCACTGCAAGGGTTAATTGCTCATTTTTATCTGTGGTAAAAAAAGAAGATATACTCACCTGATCCTGTCCCTCCGCGTCCTCTCGCCTAATGGACCTGTATTAGGCGTGATGAGGTCACGGGTCTGGAGCTCGCCGGAGCCTGGGGAAAATGCTGTGTAGCAGAATTCTAGAGTTCCTCTTTAAGTATAAAGGCCATCTACATGTACTTTACTTATGCTAGCTGTAGTCTTTACAGTCATGTTGGAGCTGTGGGTTTGTGGTTAAATCTGCTGAGTGTCAGCGTCTCCAGACACTTTGCTGATTAGCTCTCCATCATTCTGTGTTTACAGTTATCAGCTTGGCCTATTGTAATCCAATCAGCTACCCCAGCTACTTTGTATTCTGCACTAATCACACTCATCCATTCAGTATTCTAAAATAATTACCTTGGACCTCTAATGTACATTTTAATCGGGATTGCTGTTAAGATGTCAGACCCTGAAGATGAAAATTATTTTTGCTAAATTACAGCCTTTCTCTTTTGGTGAATAGCTTACCACTTAAAAAGTCATGGGATGTCTTGTATTTTTATTATGACTATATTTATTCATATGATGAAAGGTGAGGGTATCTTCTGCCTGTATTATCCTTGTTGTTAGCTTATATGGGAGTAAACAGAAATCTATTGGTCAATATCCTAAACATTGCGGTACATTTCGTATATGTAAGTGGAGATAGGACTTATCACTGCTGCCATCTCCTGATTATCATGATGATCACTATTGCAAAGGCTGGTAATGGGGATTTCATGTATTTTTTATTTACTTTGTGTTATTTGGGTAGCATGGGAAATTAAAGTGGACAATTAAATAAATGTCTTATATGTTAGGAATAAAATACGGAAGCCACGATGTCTGACCTCTCCTTATGAAAATGCTACATGCTCAGCGGTCATGCTGATTGTCATGCTTTGAGTATCCGATCTGGAACGAGTATACAGATAAGATCTGTCTTTCCTGCTCTGCATAATTGTTGCAGGTCAGTGACTCAAACTAGAAGACAGCAAAACAGCCAGTCAACTAGCATTTTTACAAGATGTCAACAAAGGGAGCTCTTGTACTTCTCACACGACCGTTTCACTTTAGATGGATGTTTCTGTAAAAAAAAGAATTTCTTAGGCTGCCTTTTTAATTAATTGGAAATGTACAACTTAAAGGAACAATGAGGTTGAACTCCAAGGAAAAAAAGATTTACCCTTCCACCCTGCAAATGTTAACTGCTTGCTTTGCCTAATGAATGATGAATAGGGTGATATACTTAGAAAAACATTTTAGATGGGAAGGGTTACAACCACTGATGTGGATTTATCGATGTATGTTCCTTCATTGGGAAGATTTCCTCTCACTTTCTGTGCCAGTGACAGTGCAGTGTCAGCCCCCCCCCCTTCCCAGACAGTGTAATGTATGTAATGTATGTAAAGGCAGAGCTCCTATTTACTGATTATGTTACAATGAATAGCAGGGAGGGTGAGAGCTGTTTACAGCCTGATTACAATCAGACCCCAGTGTCAGACTGAATTTCCTGTTGAGAACATTTTGAATTATTAGGCTTCAGCCCTAATAAAAACTTCATTAAAAAATGAGGAAAGCCTGTAATGTGCCATAAAAATGAAATGCACATACATCATCACTGCACCTCTACATTACCACAATAAATGCTAATCACTTACGAAGGTGGAAATGGACTTTAAGGCAGTGGGGCCTAATGGATATCTGAGGCTTTACTTACTGTGCATGGCAAGAAAGGCAGATTTGGAGGAAAAACATACTAGAGGGGCTACATGACTGGGTGAGGAATAGTCTCTAAGAAAGAGTTAATGTTAGTATAGAAGCA